TAGTAGCAGCAGGAGGAGGAACAGTAGGAGGAGGAACAGTAGGAGGAGGAAGAGGCTGAAGGGGAGGAACAAGAGGAAGAGGAAGAGAAAACGGAGTAGGAGGAGGAAGAGGAGGAAGAGGAGGGAGGAGGTTGAGGAGGAGGAAGAGGAGTTTCAGAGGCCCGGATCGCTCTGAGAAGGCCGTCCCCCCGATCGTGCTTCCCTTCTGCTCGCCGCCAGTCGCCCTCGCCCTCCGCCTCCTCTTCCTTGTCCCGTCGGCGTCCTCCTCCGCCTCCTGCGCCACCTCCTCTGACGCCTCCCTCCTCCTCCTTCTCCTCCTCCGCTTCCTCCGGCGCCTTCTTTTTTCTCTGCCTCCTCCTCCGCCGTCCTTCGGAGGGCGTCAGCGAGATACCTACGCCGACCGTGTCCACGCCGATCCTGGGCCCAGAAGCGGTGGACGTGCCTTCCTCCCCAAGCCAGGAAGCTATATACGTCGATCCTGGGCCCAGGACGACTTGGCCAGGATCGGTGAACGTGAGCACTTGGCGCCCTTCTAGTCGTCGTCGTCGTCCCTCCCTCCCTCCCTCCCTCCCTCCTTCCTCCTTCCAGTCTCCCTTGTCTTTCTTCTCGCCCCCCTCGCCGGCAGGAGGCGGCCGCGTTGAACGGCCGCGAAAACGGTGGCGCCGCGCCATGCTGCTGCCGCCGCGATCCTTTGTTTGCTCCTCCAGGGGCCTCTTGGGGGCCTCTTGGGGGCCTCTTGGGGGCCTCTTGGGGGCCTTCAGGTGCCTCTTGGGCGCCTCTTGTTGCCTCCTGGGGGCCTCTTGGGGCGGAAGGCTCAGATTTTCGGTTCGTGTTCCCTCTCTCGGGCCCGCTTTGGGGCCGTCCTGCGGCCTTCTTGGGCTGTCTTGGGCGCCCCTTGGGCCGCCTGGGGGCGCTCTTAGGCCGTCTGGGGGCCCTCTTGGAGGCCTCTCGGGCTGTGTTGGGGTGGTGTTTAGGGCCTTTTGGGCCGTCTTGGAGCGTCAGAACAGGCGAGAACGCCCAAGTCATTACAAATCAATGGATAATCAATCATTTGTGCTTTTTGGGGCCCTCTTGGGAGGCCTCTTGGAGGTCTCTTGGGGCGTCTTGGAGGCCTCCTGGGCCATCTTGAGGCCATGTTGGGCGTCTTGGAGCGATATTTCGGCGACTTGGGGCCCTCGTGGACCGTCTTGGAGGCCTCTTGAGGCCCTCCCGGCCCGTCTTGGGGCCCGCTTGGCTGGGAAAAAATCCCGTGACAAGACGCGACAAGTCTCAGCAAACCCCGGGATACTTGAGAGCGAGGGCTCCAGATTCTTCAAAGGGTCCTCAGGAGTGAAAAGTGAGGCTCAGAGGGTAATGCAAACGACTTGAGGACACGCCCACTTCGTGCCCAAGGGCACGGTGACGGATATACATATGCACATTTTTTCACAGACGCATGTAACCGTAGTGCTGCCCAGCCTCCCCTCAAACATCTGTCGTGCTTGTCCAGCGGACTCTTCGTTCCGCCAGTGGCCGCGCTCGCACTGTTCGTGGTTCGAGGCAACGAAGACATTTCCAGAATCACGGATACCATGCACTTAGGCACCTCTTGTATTTTTTGCCTCGTGAACATGTTCTTGCTATCACTATTGGGGCCTTCCTCAATTGCTCGTCCTACCCTCGGTCCTTAGGCCCTGTCTGCACGCCTTGCCCGCTCTATCTGCTCCGTGACCCCCTATTGAGTGGCCTCTGTGAGAGTCACTCGCGGCCATGCTTTCGAGTTGGATTGTCAACTGGTTGCTCGCGTCCCTGGGCGTTTGCCCGAAAGCGCCGTCGGAGTGGACTCCCCCTGACCTGCTCGCCTGGCTGGCCCCGCTTGGCCTGCAGCCTCTTGTTCCACATCCTCCGCTTGCTCGACGAAGCTGTCCGACGACGACGACGACTCTGTCCGACGACGACGACGACGACGCTGTCCGACGACGACGACGACGCTGTCCGACGACGACGACGACGACGACGACGACGACGACGACGACGACGGCGGCGGCGGTGGCGGCGGCGGCGGCGGCGGTGCCGGCGACGGCGGCGGCGGCGGCGGCGGCGGCGGGCGCGCGGCGCTCGGCCCCCTGGCGACGCCTCCTGGCGCCGCCCCTGGCGCGCTCCGCGCGCCATGGAGGGGATTCTGGCAGATCCAAGAGATCCGTGCGGACCGTCGAACGTTTCTGTACGCGGCTTCTTCTTCTTCTTCGTCTTCTTCTTCGCCTTCTTCTTCTTCTTCTTCTTTTCTTCTCCTTCTTCTTCTTCTTCTTCTTCTTCTTCTTCTTCTTCCTCTATACCTCCTCCCCCTCCTCCCCCCTCCTGCCAAGACGGGCCCCCAGACCTGCCAGGGGGCGCGCCCGGCCAGAGTCCCGACGGGAGCCCAGCCGTGGCGACGCCTGAGCACCCCCATCCTCGATCTCGGAACCTCGCCCGAGGGCGGCGGCGGCGACGGCGACGGCGGCAGCGACGGGCGGCGACCCTC